TAGATATCATCTTCATTTTACAGACAAAAAGGATGGGGCTCAGAGAAACTTTTCTAAAATTGCCTATATTCTTAAGTAGAATCTAGTCCCAAAGACCATTAATTTCTAGTGCAATTGTTTTGTTTATTATTAATTATTGTCACCTGAAAGAAGTATGTCTTTGAAACAAACATACTCTCGGCATACATTCATATGCTACCATTTTCCAGATGACTGCTATATGAATTCTAGGAGGAACCTAGGAGGAAGCCATCCTTCCTCCAAAGGACTAGTTTTAAAGTTTAAAACCTATGCAGTGATAATGAATATTTCCCCCTTGTTAGATTTTGAACTTGACAGAAACTGAGGTCCGAGACTGACTTGAGCCTATTGTTTTAGTTAATTCTTTAATAGCAATAAAAAAATTCAGTTCTTGGTTTTCTCTTTGGCTTTTATAATCTCCATCAGTTTTCTTTTTGTTCTCTGAGCTCCTAAGTGCTTCAGCTCTTTCTTGGTTTTCTATAACTTGGCTCTCTTCTATCAATCAGTCCTTCAGAGGAGGTAGTTGATTAAATTGTATATTTGTTTCTTCCTTCATTTACTCTACCTGTCCACCCATCATGCATTTTCTGAGGGTTTTGCATTGGGTATTATGACTAATTCAGAAGTTTTAAAATATTACATGGCAGAATTCCTTCATATAGGAGTTGTTTAGGTCCCTATGGGCTCCCCCATTTGAAGTGCAACCCTGAATTTTTCCCACGTGAGCTTAGTGCATTATCATTTTGGAGAAGCATCTTCTAGTAGGATGCTAATGGCTTCTACTCTCAGTAATGGCCATTGGGTTTGCTTCCATGTCCAGAACTTAGGAAGGAAATATGCTTCACTGGACATTAGCATCAATGTGTATAATGTTTCTTCAGCCATTAGCCTCCCTCCCCAGGAACAATAGAAAGAAGAAGAGCTTTTAAATAAAGGAATCATTTCTTGGTAGAATTTTGTTCCAGGAGAAATCTATATTTTGCACTTCCCTCTACTTTGGCCAACTCTAGAATATTGCAAGCCAAAGTATTTCTCCTCATATGTACAACAGGGACATTTTTTAACTCAAGTTATTTCTAGATCTGATTTGAATCACATTTGGATGAGAATACCATGAAATTTGTCTCTTTTCCCATAAGATTTGGAAGTTCTGTTAATTATCAGTAAGTATTATCATTTATCAAGTACACTAAGGAACCGCTGGACAATGAATAAAGATCGTTGAAGATTTGATCCATTTGAGCTATGGTATTGGAGGAGAATATTAAAAGTACCATGGACCACCAAAAGAACAAACTAATCTGTGTTGGAAGTACAGCCAGAATGGTTAGACTTTGTCTCTCATACTTCGGACATATCAGGAGGGACCAGTCCCTGGAAAAGAACATCATAGTTGGTAAAGTGGAGGGTCAGGGAAAGAGAGGACGGCCCCAAGGAGATGGACTGGCACAGTGACAGCAGCAATGGGCTCAGATGTAGCAATATTATGAGATTGGTGTAGGACCAGGCAGTGTTTCATTCTGTTGTGCATAAGGTCACTATGAGTCAGTACCTACTCAATGGCACCTAACAATAACAAGGAGCCCTGGTAGCACTATAAGATAAGCACTGGACTACTGATGTGGCACTGTAGGATAAGCATTGAACTGCAAGATCGGTTTCAACTGCAGAGTTGGCAGTTCCAACTCACAAGCCACTGCTCAGAAACCCTATACAGTGTTGTTATAAGTCAGAACCGACTCGACAGCACTTAACAACAACAATAACAGCAAGGTCAACAATTCAATTTAAACCTATCAGTCACTCCATGGGAGAAAGATGAGGCTGTTATCTCCTGTCAAGCAGTTTTAGAAGCCTTATATAAGATCTATATGAATCCTGAAAATCATTGACTATATTATTATATACTTGTGTTATTTATTTACTTGGGATAGTGACCTTTGCTCTAGCATGGTATTTGATTTCTAAGGGTACTTACCACATTTTAAGCTCTTAAATACTGCTTTGAAAATCTCTTGGTTTATAGAGTTCATGTTACATGTCGATTATTATTAATAAAAGTAAATTGAGATGTTTTATACATTTGAAAAATTTAGAGAGGTGGACATTGTTCAAAATTCTACTTGGAAGGTAACTTTGTTCTTTATTAAGAGAGAAGCCAACACTCTTCTTCCTAAACCAATACCAATTTATTGTTGTTGTTAAATGCTGTCGAGTCAGTTCCAACTCATAGCAACCCTGTATAGGGTTTCCAAGAACAGTGCTGATCCTTCAGTACTATACCAGGATTCCATACATGATTCAAAGTTAGTCCTGTTTTAGCATCTAAGCCATGCAATCAATGTTTTTTTTTTTTTTCATTTTTATTTCTTTCATTGTGTTGTGACCAATACTGGGATATTGAATCTGGAAAAGTTTATTTTTTGTTTGTTACATAGGTTCAAGTTGGTTCTGACCGATAGTAACCCTATGAACACCAGAATGAAACACTGCCCAGTTCTATGCAGGCGTCACAATTATTTGAGTGCATGTTGCTGCCACTCTGTCAATCCATTTCATTGGGTGTCTTCTTTTTTGTCACTGATCCATAATTTCCAAGCATGATGTCTTTCTCTAGGGACTGTAGGTCCCTCCTGACAAAATGCCATCCTCCACTCAGATTCAAAGGTGCAAATCTATTTGGTCTTCTGGCAGCAGTCCATGGTACTTTCAATATTCTTCACTAACACCATAATTCAAATGCATTTCTGGAAAAGTTAAACATTTTCATTTTACAGGAAATAAATGGTGCTTTTGAAGCATCTTTGACTTTAGCACCTAGATAAAATTATGGTGGAAGTGTCCCATGAAAGAAAGCTGTTGTCTTTTCTTATAGGCTAGCTTTTCCTTGTTCATTCATTCTGATAATATTGAGCCCAATGGATCTGTATTTTAATTACTCACAATTTAGAGTTACTATAAACATTGGGATAATTAGAAAATGAAAACCTCTGGGTCAGAGATTAGAAATGGGCAATCCCACATGTATTTACCTCATCATTTAAAAAGTGTTTTTTAACTAGTTGGTGTAGCCCTTATGGATAAGCACTAGGGCATTAATTGCAAGATCTGGAGGCAGTTCAAACCTACCAGCTGCTCTTGTACAGGGGCACTATGAGTTGGAGCTGACCTGACAGCACTTAACAACAGTGCTGAAAACATGGAGATTTCATATAAAACTTAAGCTTTCTGTTCTTTTCTTAAAAAGTAGAATTTCATAGTCAATCATGAAAGGACAAATACTATATGAGAACACTATTATAAAAAAGTCAAGAAAAGGTTTTCACCCTAAAAGAAACATTCTTAGATGGTTACCAGGGGTGGGAGGGAAGGGCTAGACACTGGCTGGAGGGTAGACACATGTTAACTTGGGTGAAGGGGAAGACAATATACAATAAGGGAGGTTAGTAAAGCAATGCTTTAGACATGGGAAGACATAGGAAGGAGTGCAAGAGTTTAAAGGTAACGAAGGAAAAGACACAATCTTCCAATAATGGTGATCTATAGGTAGATAACAACAACAACAACAACATAGGTAGATACAAGGAGCAGTTCGAATCGGACTGCGAACCTCACGGTCAGCAGTTCGAAACTACCAGCTGTTCTGCGGGGGGAAAGATGAGGCTTGCTGCCCCCATAAAGATTTACAGCCTCGGAAACCCTGTACAGGGTCGCTATGAGTTGGAACCGACTCCACAGCACATCACAACAACAATAGGTAGATACATGTCTAGGCGCATAGGCTGAACGGGTGTGGGAGGGAGTGTGGGAATATACCCACAAATATATAAAGTTTTAACAGAGGACATTTGTATACCTTTACTACAAACATACCCATGAATGTGGTGGAGCATACGGGGCAAAATCTTAGACATTACCAAACACCTTGAGGGAATGAGTCACTGGGCCTCGGGTTAGGACCATAGTCTTGGGGGACACTATGGTCAACTGACATACCAGTCCACAAAGACAATGTTCTATATTCTACTTCCATGAGTAGCAACTAAAATCTGGTAAACTCATAAGCAGCCATCTAAGGTACAACTGTTGGTCTCTTCCTGTCCAGAGGAAAGACATTTGGATACAATTAGTCCACTGGACTAATGGGCCACAGCAACATCAGTCTCCAGGACTCTGACCCAAAGAATTAGATGATCTATGACTACCACTACCAACTGCTCCAAAAGGGATCACATGAGAAGGTCTGGACTAGAGCTGGAGGAAATATGGAACCATATCTACTGACAAGGCTTACTGGTCAGACAGAGACTGCTGCAACCAGAGACTATGACCCTTAGTTGCCCTCCAGGTGTGGAACGGAACACATCAACATGGCTCAATTTTCAGACAAGCAGCAGATACAGGGGGTAATAACAATACTAGTGAGGTACGCACACCAGAGGATGATCAACCATTCAAGATCAAAAGGGCAGCAGTTACTCAAGGACAGTGTTCTGAGGGCTGGGCAAGAAGGAGGAATGGAAATCAACGGGAAAGAAGAGTTGGTAAGTGATGGGTCACTGAGGGGATTGTCATCATTGAGGTGAAACGAAGTGTACCACGTGTTGAATGTAGAACGTGATTGGCTCTGTGGGATTTCACTCAATTCATAATTAAGAGTTGAAAAATAAGTCATATTTTAAGCACAAATGGATCACATATGAGGGGGCTTCAAAGAATTCGTGAAAACATTCCTTTTTTCCATGAACTGTTTGAAGCCCCTCTTACATATTAGTAATGCACTTGAATTGCATAGCAGTTATTCTTTTTGGAAATGTAAGCTTTCTCCAAATTGCCACAGTTTTTACCATTCTTTAATGTCTCACACTTGCTCTACTTTTATGTACATTGTTATGATTTAGGGCAAATAAGAATATAAATTGCATGTATGTGAAGCAATTCCTTAATATTTTCATTAGTAAATTAGTGAAGACATCATAAAGCATCTTTTCTTTGTTGTTTTTGTTTTTTTGATACATTTATTTCTTTAAAAGATGGTAAGAAATACAGAGATATGAGAAGCAGTTACCATCCAGAGATGTGAACTTTCTTGTTCCCACCTCTTTCACACACATTCACTCCACTGGTTGGTGATAGAGAAGATGACTGGAGATGTTTATACTTCTTGGAGTTCCACTATCTTGCGCTGTAGCTTCTTTAGATCTTTCTGGACTTTATGTTTTTCTAATTGCATCTTAGTTTTCTGTATTTGTTGAAGGGAGCTGAGAGAGTCATGTATCGACTTAAACCCTGGTATGTAAATAGGAATAGTTACATTAAACAATGCATCGAAACCATTTGTTTTTATAAGAGTTGATAATCAGCAGTCCTGCTACAATTGATCATGTAATTCTAAGCATATTCAATTCCACTAAGACCAGTATATAAGTGTACAATAATCACTTTTCTTGGATATAATGATGTACTTCATTTTGTATCTAGCTTTAATTATAAAAATTATATGTAATATATAATTCAATTCAAATATTGCAAAATGAAATAATTTTGCATTTCACAAAATTAAAAATATTGTCTTATTTCTGAATACTTTGACAAGAGACTTGGGTGACCACTTTTAAATTCTTGTTACCAAACTGAAGGCAAAGACCACAGATTAAAAATATGAAACTTCTCTGAAAGTAACTTCTTTGAGGGAATTAAAGAATGCAACCATACTTTGCATCTTTCTTATGACATTTGTAGTCACTCATGATGCCACACCTACCAGATCGCATTTGTCACCCAAGGGACCTTTCTCATAGTCATGTCTGAACAGAGTCTTATGGAAAGCATAAAGGAGCAAACCATTATTTTGAAGTTCTTTTTGCTAAACTTTCCACTGAGTAAAATGTAGAAATATGTATAATGGAAATTCTTCAACAATCATGGGTTTGTCCTCTTGGAAGGAATAAACTTAAACTTCTAGTAATGAAACAGAAAGCAGGGCCCTAAAAGAATAGCCAGGTAAGTTTGGAACATAATTCCTGGCCAGAAAATATTGGAATGTGGTGGTGGTGGTGGTGAGGAGGTGAGATGAACATCAGCTCTCCAGGCAGTGAATTCTATTTAGATGCCAAGAACATCTGGCCAATGAAACCACCTCTTCACCAGGCTTATTCAAACGAGGTTCCCGAGGAGCGGCTGGTGGGTTTGAACCACCGACCTTTCAGTCCAGTGCATTATCCTTCAGCACCACACCAGGACTTCTCTACGTGGGCATTACTTGTTGTTGTTGTTATGTGTTGTCGAGTTAATTCCAACTCATAGTGACCCTGTAAAAGATTCCCAATGAACAGCTGGTGGGTTTGAACCACTGACCTTGCGGTCCAGTGCATCATCCTGCAGCACTACACCAGGACTCCTCTATGTGGGCATCTCTATATGGGTCTAAAATGTGATAGAATTTGCAACTGACTGAGATTTACAGGACAAAATGGCTGGGGCTTTCTCTCATACAGGAATCTTAATCCCAGATTGTTGTTGTTAAGTGTCATCCAGTCGGTTCTGACTCATAGTGACCTTATATAGAGTTTCCAGGGAGCAGCTGATGGGTTTGAACCTTGTGGTTCACAGTCCAGTGCTGATCCACAGCACCACAACAGAAGTCCTAATTCCTGCTAATTCCTTCAGAATTGTGTCTCAAGGCAGATTGTTGCTCCACAACACCTATCCCAAACTTCTCTTTTACAAATGAATCCTCTTTGATGTTAGCTTAGCTTGACACTGCTGCGGTTAGTCTTTCAAGAAGAAAAGCAGCCACTCTACCAGACTTTGCTAATTCATCATTTGTTGTCATGGTTAAGGGTCACATCTTTAGTCTGACAACTGTCCAGGCTTATTACCTGCAGTTCAGTGAGAGGGTCATTTGATTTAAGCTCCCATTTTCATGATAAACTCACAAATCAGGACATTGTGATCTCCAAGGACTTTTCCAAGTCTAAAAATTCCTTGACTGTATGATCTTAAGAGAGTTAAAAATTTCAAAGATTTGGCAGTCTTGCGATACTGCCAAGTGTAAATGAGGAAAGTGAATTTACTTTTCTACCTTCTGGTAATAGGCTGACATTCTGTACGCTATTTCAGAAAGTCCAACCAAATACATAGGATGTCACTAATGACAAAAATTCCACCACTTGTTTGTCAATTTTCATACTGTGGTGGCTTGTGTGTTTTTGTGATACTGGAGGCTAAGCCACCAGTATTTGAAATATAAGTAGAGCCATCCATACTGGACAGATCTCAGAGGAGCTTCCAGATGAAGACAGAATAGGAAGAAGGAGAGACAGACTATTGTATAGCTAAGCGCTGAAAATTTTATGAAGAGCAGTGGATCATTGTCAGATACATGCCGAAAGACGAAAACATTATGAACAACAACACAGTGGCAGCAACAATGGGCTCAAGCATAAAAAATGTGAGGATGGTGCAGGACCAGGCAGTGTTTTGTTCTGTTGTGTTGAAGGTTGACATGAGTTGGAACCGACTCAATAGCACCTAACAACTACAACAACGACAAAGCTGACCCCAGGCCATTAGCTGAAAGAAGAAAACTCTGGACAGGAAAGAAGTGATTTTCTTTAATGAATAAACAAAATCTGCTCACCTGATTGATATTCAGTCTGCATTTTCTCTAATTCACCCCAGATCTGTTTTTCCAGTTGGTTCATCTTTTTGGACACCTTATTTTCTACATGCTTTATTTTGTTCAGTTCTGCTTCCTGTTTCTGTGTGTTAATGAAATTGTCTAATTTGCTTGAAAGCTGCAGCAATTTTTCTTCTATTTTATGTTCAGACTTTTCCTAGAAGAGATAGCATGTGAAAAAAACTGCAGAAAAGAAAATCTATGAGGATCTCTATTTCAGCTTAGAGAAAATATTATTAACAAATTCATATTTATATTTAAAACATGAAAATTCAAATAAAATTCCTTTGTATTTCAAACTGTTCACAAGTGTTAGAGCTAATCCCTTTGACCATTTGTAGTTTCTGGAATTCTATAGGAACTTCCGGAATTCTTTAGGGCTGTACTCTAAAGAAGATGTGTTGTTGTTAGGTGCCATTGAGTCCGTTCTGACTCATAGCGACACTGTATAGGATTTCTATAAGAGTGCCTGGTGGGTTTGAACCACCAACCTTGCAGTCCAGTGCTTATCCTACAGTGCCACACCAGAACTCTAAAGAAGACATGTTGTTGTTATGTGCCGTGGAGTCGGTTCCAACTCATAGCGATCCGGTACAGGGTTTTCGAGGCCGTAAATCTTTACGGGAGCAGAAAGCCTCATCTTTCACCCGCGGAGCAGCTGGCAGTTTTGAACTGCTAACCTTGCGGTTCGCAGCCTGACTCGTAACCACTACACTACCAGAACTCCTTAAAGAAGACATGTAGCCTTCCTGAAATGCCTTGAGGTCTGGAGTTACAATCTAGTGGTAAAAAAATGAAGCCAAGGAAGCGATTTTAGATAGCGCCTCAGCTGAGTTCTTTGGAATGCTTGAGAGTGTTAGAAATTCGAATTCCCTTAATCTTCCACGTTTCCTTATGGACAGACTTTGGCTAGATGAGTAGTTAATTCTCCTCTTCTACAGTCTATCAGAATCACCTGGGCTATGTCCCATCACCGGAAGTTGATTGAATTGTTCTACAATGGAGCCCATGAGAAGCATTGGTGGTTGAAAGGTAGAATTCTGACTTCCACACTACAGACCTAGTGTTCAGTTCCTGGCCAACACACTTATTGTGAAACCACCATTCATCTGTCCGGTCCGTGGAGGCTTGTGTGTGGCAATGATGTTGAACAGGCTTCTATGGAGCGCCCAGACTACAAAGGACTAGGAAGAAAAGTCTGGTGATCTATTACCCTAATTCAGTCAATCAAAACCTTGTGGGACACAGTGGTGCAAACCACTACCAATTATGAAAAAAGTGCAGAAGGAGGCGGCATTGGCTTTGTTGTCCATGGAGTTGCCATGAGTTGGGGACTGACATAATGGCATAGGACCACGATGGATCTTAGGAACTGGTCTATTTTTAAAACTCTCCAGGTGATTTTAATTTGCAGTCAGCATGGGGGTTTTGGGGACAGCCTAATGAGTGGATTTTTCTTTGCTCCACAATAGATAAATGCAAACGGGAACTGGGGGACTATTTGTTTGCCCCCTTTGATTCTCCTCTCTACACCTCATGGATGGTGGAGTCTGATCCCTGCCTTGTGGCGGGAGGAGCCTCTGCCTGCAGGAGACCCTGCGGTCACAATTTCAGTGAGTTTACCTAATTCAGGGGTGGAGAATGAGCCAGCCCAGTTGTTCCCAGATGTAACTACAAACTTCAGTTTACCTCCCTCCCTAAGACTCTTATCTCTTATCACTTGTTTACAAACTCAGGTGGGCAGCTGAGGATGCTCCTTACTGGACTACCTAAAGAAGCCTCTCTCCTGACATTCCAGAAACATCATATTTGAATCCCAACAGGGCTATTCACACAGGTGGCCCTGCACAACCCACCCCATTGGCTCCAGCAGCCTGGCCAGCTGTGTTGGTGGCTGTGGCAGGTGGGAGTCTGAAAGCGGTCTTTTCATACACTCTGGTAACCTCATCCCGAAGCACCCAGGCTCTCTATAAGATCTGACCAGAGAGAGGAGTTTTGAAAACCTTTTATCTACTAACTGAGCTCCATTTGGAAAGGATCAATTTGCTTTCAAGCTTTTTTGTGCCTAAGTATCACCTGGGAATTTTGTCTAAAACCACATATTCCCAGGGGAGATTCCGGATAGTCTGATTTGCTAAGTCTGCGATGGAACCAGGAATTTGTATTTTTGAAAAACCTCTTTAGAATACTCTGGTATAGGCAGAGCACACCTAAGAAATGTGGGTTTGCAAGAAGGAAGTAGCAAACAGGGACAAGAAGTCAGGCCTCTGGACTCCTATTCCCTGCCCTTTTCATATTGCCTGATTGCTAAAAATAAAACAAAACCAAGTTACTGACAAGGCAATGACAATTGCTGTAAGTGTTGAAGTATGAACTTCAAGACTTTTATACCTGGCTGGGAGAAAAGCCCGCGGGACCTTCATTTGCTGATGGGGCACAACTCAAACTGAAGAGAAACAGCTCTAAACATCCATTGAAAATCGGAACACAGAATGTACAAATTATGAATCTGGGAAAATTGGAAGTTGTCAAAAATGAAATGGAACGCACAAACATTGATATCTTAGGCATTAGTGAGCTGAAATGGACTGGTATTGGCCATTTTGAATCTGATGACTGCATGGTTTACTATGCCAGAAATGACAAATTGAAGAAGAATGATGATGCATTCATTATCTAAAAGAACATATCCAGATCAGTCATGAGTTACAATGCTATCTGTGATAGGATAATATCATGTGCATACAGGGAAGCCCAGTTAATACCACCATTATTCAAATTTATACACCAAACACTAAAGCCAGTGAGGATGAAATAGAAGAATTCTACCAACTTCTTCAATCTGAAATTGATCAAACATGTAATCAAG